TCTTGCTAAAAATATTTAGTGCCTGATCATTGCACTATGTGCCAGTGTTGCTCTGGGAATGTGTAGAGGAGCTGTTAGTATAAAGTTAGCAGCATGTAAAATGGAAAGTTAACACAAAACAAATATATCCTAAGTGAAGTTGACTTTAAAAATGGAATGGAAAAATAAAAAATCCCCAGTCATGCAACTTTATTTAAAAAATTGTTTTAAATAATATTTATGTCTCTTGCATCCTCAGGTGCCACATTAACTTCACCCTTGCATTTTTATGGGCATATAGTGTGCTGTATGTTATGAGCAACAGATTATTTATGGCAGTTGTGCTTCTAAGTGACCCGTTTTTGTGTGTGTGCACATGGGCATGCTTGAGTGCATATATACAAGCACTCAACACTGTCACCCTTTAAAACCTGAGGGAGAACCATCTATGGCTAAATTGTATAGAGCCGGTTCATCCATTGTGTGTGTAAGTAGTATGCATATGTATGATTCTGTATAACCTGCTTGTAGAGGATGTTTAAGGTTTGCACACAAATCAGCTTTTTATGACCTATTTGTGTTTTTTGGTTGAAAATTTGCCTCATACTGATATGCAGCTACTGGAGTCTGTTCATAATTACTTCATTATTAGCCCACTCTGGATAGGTGTTTAGTCAAATTTTGCTGCATGTAAGAGGGCATTGGGTGTGCCTGTGCCTTTTAAGAAGGCAAGCATCCTGAAAGGCAGCTTGCAGGTGGCAAAGGGGGCTGATTAGGACTCACCTGACCAGGAACAGGCTGGGCTTGAGGAATATAAGCCCTCAATGCCAGCTGGTCAGGCAGTCCAACCCTGAAGAAAAAGGATGTGAGGAGCTCCTGGCAGCAGGGCTCCTGAACAGACTTAGAGGAAGGTACCTGGGGCACAGAGGGGCTTGTATGTACAGGCAGGTGTCTGTGGCTTTGTTAAGCTGGGAGAAGATTTTGAATGCCTGCCAGAGGGCACAGGTGCTTTTAATTAAGTAGCACCAGTGTTTAGCCTTGAGCCCTGCTGAGTGCAGGCTCCAAGGCCAACTTGCAGGAGCCCAGAGTGGGATCAGGAGATTCATGATCTCAAGGCCCAGAGAGGTGCTGGGAAGGTGATCAGAAAGTCTAGAAACCCAAAGTAGGGCTGAGAGAAAGAGTGGGTCCAAAGGAGGTCTAAACAGCCAGAGACTGCCAGAGCAGAAGAGTCTGAAGATCTCAACTGGCTTAAGAGCAGAGCCAGGGCCCAGGAGGGACCACAGCCAGTTCTACTGGCTGGAGGCAGGGCCAGAGCCCAGGATGGGCCAAGGGTCCAGGAGGTACCAGAGCCATAAATATTAATGGGAGATAACACCCATGGGGCGTGATGTGGGGACGGATGGAACCATGCAATGAGCCCTTAAGGTTGCAGGTGACCCTACAGAGGCACGTATAGGCGGGCAGAGCTTACTGAGCTTGAGGGCTGAACAGAGACTAGAGGGGTCCAGGAAGGATCTGGTGATGATTACACAGACTCAGTCTAAGGCCTGTGGGCAGCCTCCTTTATCTAATCCTTAATAAGAACAAAGCGTGGTGGGCAAGTAATCAAGGGAGATCTATCTTAGAGACTGAGCCAGGGAGGGGTATCATGGCCGCCTCTGTGGCTCAGACCCGATACAATCCAGTTGTTCTTCCCTCTTAGATTTTACACTCTTGACACATTTACTTTGACTTATTTGTCTGCTGCTTAAAGGTTGTGTTAAGAACTTAGAAAAATACTTACATAATATACTGAAAAGTAGTTCTTTTGTATTTTACATGGCCGTCACTGAGATTAACTACAAGGTTAACGAAAATTATCTGTTACATTGAGCCATAATGGAGATTCATGTATAATGCAATCTGAGATTGTTCTTCTCTTTCACTGTGAATCTTAGAGATTCTAAGGTAGTGTTCAGTGCATTTCTAACATGGTGAACCTAAAAAATGCAGTGTTTCTGTTTTGATTGTATACAAGAATGTATGTTGTAAATGCTATGCAACTTTCAGTACTTAGGATGCATTCTCTTATGGAGTTTACCCCATAAGCACCTTCTTAGCTCCTTGTAGGTTGTATATAGGTCCTGATTCTGTGCACATCGTTGTGGTATCTGAGTATCCACCACAAGTGCATTTGTCACATGGGTTTGTCCATTTTTCTTTTCTATGAAAGGAAAGTGCTTTTATTTAAGCTGTTCTCTGTAATCCTGTTAGTGGAAGTCTTGTCCTTGCACAAGAAAGTAGCAGATATTGAGTATGGACAGAAATGACATATAAACTGGTATAAGTAATCAGAAACCAGTTCTGTAATGCAGCTGAAATTCAGTGCACATAAACCATTTTCAAAATGGCTGAAGCGGGTTTAAGATAAACCTGGATGGATGTAGTATTGGACTTAACTGATTTAGGTTAAATCCCTCCAACTATGCAAGGAGGTGTGTTTTAGTGTTCCCCAACTTCTGGCCTGGGCCAATGCAGGCATATGGCTGCATTTCTGGAATCAAAAGTGAATGTCTGTTCACTTGCTTATTGGGTCAGTCTATGCAGCTTAGATTAACGTGCAAAGATGGAATCAATTCAGCTTCAGACTTTTTGACTTTCTGTACTTAGCCACTGTGGCAATTCTTAGGGCCCTTGCTGACACTGAATTTGTCATGGTTAATAAGTTAATTTTGCCATAAATGGCAACAAGCCACATGTTCACACAATTATTATGTCATAACAGGACAAACCAGCCACAAAGACATTCCACATACACTGAACAACAGTTCTGGCTGATTTGCACGGTACCTTAAATTAAATGTGTGGTATTTGTCCCAGTCTTAGGCCTACCCTGGGCTGTTGCTGACAATCAGCTGCTTGTTGGCATTGGCACAGGATGGCCCTAGATCTTCAGGGCACCTGGGGCTATTCCAAATCTGATCCAATCATCTGAGCATTCAGATCTGGCACACCGTAGTCCTGGCTCCAGGACACAGCTGCCCCCTGTCTAGTCTGCAGGATTGGGACCGGTTTAGCTCAAGGTCCTGGCTTGGCCACAGCAGTCACATAATTGGAACATGAGGAAATTTGTGCCCCATCACAAACATAATATACTCTGCCATGCACATCTGGTATCTTTTGGGTACCTTGGCCTGGGTTCTCAGATGCCTGGAAGATAAAAATACAGAATTTTTAACTTAATGGTATGAAAAGCCTGTGCGATCAGTGGACAAGTTTGATTTTTATGGTAAGAACAACTCAAGCGTCATGCCCAAGTAGTGTATTCTTAGATTTGAATCATATGGCAATAAATGCATGTTAGTGCTTAAGCTAGGTCACCACCAGAATGAAACAGTCCCCATGGAACATGCTGTTTGCAGGTGCCACTTGCATGAGTTGAGGATCTGTGAGACCATGTAAAAACATTCACTCAAAGGAGTGTTTTCCACAAAGGTGATTGTGGTGTGGCTGCAAACCCTCTGTCATCCAGGATATAACCTCAGTTCTTACTCGGATTCAGGATTGTTCTCCATCTATCAGCTTGTAAAAGAACAAGGATCCAGACCCTGTAAAAGAACAAAGCTGGGTTGAGACAATGGTGATGTAAAAGAGAGAGCTGGCTGTTTACGTGCAGGCAACCCCTGCTTAGTGCTCTTAATTGGCTCCTGAAAAACCAAGCGTTAAGCAAAATGAGCGTTAAGTGAAACTGAAAGTATTTGACTATCCAAGATGGCGATCTCAAGTGTTATAATGAAACTCACTGAGCGCTAACTGAAATCAGGTATCAATTTAAAATGAGCATTATAGCGAAATATCACTAACGAAACAGCATTAAGCAGAGGTTGCCTGTATATTCTTGGCATTCCTGCCCAGAATTTCAGCAGTTCTACTGGCTGCATGCAAAATGTGGAATGAAATTGGAGAAATCACAGACGTTGTTTTCAGCTCCAAATAGATAAGAATTTAGTCTAATTGTTCTAAATAGCAAACGGCAGTTTTACTATTTGCTTTGAAATGACAAATGAACTTCCAGGCTATTCTTCAATTGGGTTTATTTGTCTCTTAAAACCAAAACAAAAACCTGAATTTAAAATATTGCATTTTTGCTCAGAGACGTTCATATTGCTAAATCGTAAAACAAGTTTCAGATCTTCTTTCCCTTTTTATGTGAAATCCAACTATTTATACCATCACACTACCTGTGTTAGTGGACTGCATCAACCCAAAATATAAACGGTTACGTGCAGTGCTATTTCTAATGTCTCCATGGCCACAAAGCAGGTAGCAAATGGGGAGATCTAGATAATGAAAGCACATGGAAAAGACCCATAGGATTTTTGAAGGTTAGGAGAACAACTGACCTGGTGATTTGAGCCCTTGTGTGTTGGTTTACTATACATTTGGTGGTAATTTTAGAATGGCAACATAAGCCTTATTTAGGGGTAAAACTGCGAACAGAACCTCTGTATATCATACATGCTACAGGATGGACCAATAAACTGTATGATATTATTCCTATAGCACTGCACTGGAGGCTCTCTACTGATGTGCAACAAATACAGTCCAACCTCTTCTTACACAATTAATTTTGCTTACTTTTTTGTCACCTCAGCGCTTGTTTGAAGAAGATAGCTTTTTCTCATGTTCATTTAGCAAAAGCAAATATTGACTACCAGTTGCATTTGATATTCTGGCTGGCTTGGAAATATAATATTTTTGTGCTAGAAGGGTTAATTATTTGTAAGTGTTACTTTTCCAGTCTGCAACTACCTTTTTTAGCATATTCTTTCATTTTACCATTGTATGCAAGAGCAGCCTGATGCTTTTAAAACTTATTTTAATGTGTAATAGGTAAATGTGCTATACACAATGCCCCTAAAATATTTTGCTTGAGGGTATGTGGATGAAAGAGCATCTTTTAAAATGCCGACTTCAAATAGTTGATAGTTAAATATCCCACATAGGATTCAGATTGTTAAAGATTTTTTTTTCCCTTTTAGACTTTGACTTTAGTGTACCAGGTTCCATGAAACTTCACAGTCTGATTTCTAAACTGAAGAAGTGGATCAAAATCCTAGAGGCAAAAACTAAGCAACTTCCAAAGTTCTTCCTCATAGAGGAGAAGTGTCGTTTTCTAAGTAACTTTTCAGCACAAACAGCAGAAGTGGAGATTCCTGGAGAATTCCTTATGCCGAAGCCAACTCACTATTACATCAAGATTGCAAGGTGAGTCACCACTGGGGGAAAAAGTAGCTGTATGTTGAGGAAAGTCAGAAGGGAAAAAAATAATTTCCTTTTTTCCAACCTCCTGGATTTTGTATGTTTATACCGGGATGACTTAATGCCATTGCTAATGATATGATTATGATGGCTTGATGTAATCCATTTACTTCTAGTTGTACATTCATCTGGTAATGTACAGCATTTCACCCAGTAGAGTAACAAGGGGTGGGCAGCCAGGGTACTAATCCAGAAGAACAGCAGCTACCACTTCAGTTGGCCCAGCCCCTGCTGCTGCTGAAGTCACAGACCCTGGTAGGTGCCTCTGGTCTCCCCTGGAAGGTCAGGGCATGGGCTGACTTCCTCCACATTGGTGCAAATGGAGTACATTTGGCACTTCCACTACCAGTACAGAGACTCATTACCAGGGAGGGCTATTCTGCAGTTGCTTGGGGATGTAGGGGGGTAGTTAGGAAGGCCAAGGCAGAGATGGAACTGGGACTAGCTTCCCAGATTAAGGACAATAAGAAGTCCTTTTTTAAATACATAGGGGGTAAGAAGAAGGTCCCGGGTAATGTGGGGCCCTTGCAGGACACGTTGGGAAATTTGGTCGTCACACCAGATGACAAAGCTAACAT